CGCCTACATCGTCCATATAGGACGACTCGGGAACTCAACTCCTACCCCGGGCAGCTCACCGATCCCCTTATGCCCAGGGGAAAGGTATCAAGCCGTTTGACAGCAGATGCTGGCTGTCAAACCGGCTTTTACGCAAAACAGGCGGGAGGCAGCAAACAGCTGCGACCAGCGAAATCGCCTGCCACCGGAAGTCTCCCCACCTAAACATCTTGAGGACTATGTGAGGTTTCTGTCAATTCTAAGGGAAACTTGCTGGTCCTTAACAAGATGCAGTTCTAACACTCAGTAAGGGGTGTTATCCCCAGGATATTATTAGTTGTATTTTCTTTTGAATAATTATAATGTATGAGTGTTCTGCCTGTGTGCAGACAAACTGTGATTTCCATTAACCCCTAGTCCCTTGAACATATGTACCTGTGCTGTTACATCATAAGGTTTATTGTTTTATCTAGGGGGAGGGTTGTTGTGTCCTCAGCCTGCTGAAGCATTCAGCAGGCTCAAAAATGTTGCAAATGGTCCCGGGCAGACCAAAAGCTGCCTGGGACCAGATTGGCTGTCGCCAGCCTTGTGCGCATGCGCAAGGCGCGAAAGCAGCCAGATTCCTATTGGCTGACACTGTCCGGGTTCAGGACAGTATAAAAGGCCTGCGTGCCTTTTTGGTGGTAGCTGGTTGTAAGGAGGAGTCAATAAAGAAAGCTTGGTGTTCACCATGTGTCTTCGTTTAATGCCTGCGACCCAAAAACATAAAACTTACCTCAGAAAAATAATCAGCACAAATTTCTAAAATGGATTTGGCTGTCTCATGGAATAGTTAAGTGCAGCCCGGATATTTGTAAATACAGTAAAGTTTTATAAAATACCACAACCTGAAAGATCCCTTCCAAATAAAATTAAATCCAAACCAGAAGTACTTTCTTCTTGTTATAACAACAACACAGCAACCGAGAGTAAATCTCTCTTTAATTATCACATTCATCTCCTAGCACATATTATAAAATTTGCTGAATACTTGAAAGGGCTTTCAGAAGTTTTCTTAGGATCAAACCACAGATGAATCAAGTCTCAATACTAATGTTTAATTTTTTTTCCTGAAAAGCATTTTCAGAGGTTCAGAATCTGATTGGAGAAGGACAAGCTTCAAGAAGTTGAATAAACACACATTCCCACGACAGAGCTGCTGTTGGCACAGATAGTTATGATTCCTGTTTTCTTTCTAGTGGGTCCAATACACATTTTAGAGTATTATTGTACTATAATAAAGGCGCAACAAGGAATATTCAAATATGCATGTGACCCTATACATAGAAATGCGACATATACATTGTAGCAACTGTTTTAAAATAATGGTTTATGAAATATAGTTGGCTAGGTCCGCATAAGTAGCTAAGCCTTAATCATGGTTACTAACCCAAGCAGGTGACATCACATAGTATGTCAAGATACAGTTTTTAAATTCAATAAACCACACTTGCAAGGATAGCACAGTACACAAAACCAGCTAACCACATTAAAGTTTAATAAATTGCATAGCTGTGAAATGTTCCCTCTCTAATCAAGTGCAGATTCTTACAGACACTTTTATCAAGTAGCAATTCCAAAATATCAAGAGATCGGCTCATGGGTCTGCTCTGTCATTCTCATGCCCATTTCAATCTTCATGTGTTAAACAAGAACCTGCATGTTTTCTGACTGACCTCGCTTGGTGATCTCCTTTCAAGTCAACTGAACTTTTATGCATTCAGAAATAAATAATGCCCCCTGTGGAGTCATGTGGAACTGTCTCAAAGAACTGGCCATCCAAGCAAGTTGAAGGGCACGACAAGCCCTGCAGCCAGTCAGGGATGGTATTTGGGAAGAGAAGAGACTTCATTAGATCCAAAACTTTCAATGTCAGGTTAGGTTGGAATATCTGTAGCAATGCCAAGGAAAACATCCTTTGACTTTGCTCACAAGTGAGAAGTGCCTTTCCACTTCCACTTGTACCTACAGTATTAATGATAAATGGAAAATATGAGAGTATATGATGCAACAGACTGACTGGAGGAATTCTGGGAGTTGAAGTCCACAAAGCTTAAAGTTGCAGAAACTGAGAATCACTGGACTAGACCAGAGATGTCAAACTCGTGACGTCACGTATCAGAGCTTTTTCGTCATTGCCGGCAATGGGGTGGGCGCGGCTCCAGTATGATGAAACCGGCCCGCGGGCCGGCAGTTTGAACACCCCTGGACTAGACTATCAGTCTGGGAAGGTCTGGCTCAATTTTTTTTTTTTTGATGATGATGATGATGAAGATGATGAAATTCAGCAGTTTCACAGCTACTAAGCCAAAACCACACGCATATATTGTGTGAATCCAACCATCTTGTTTTGTATACTGTGCTTTATGGTTCAGCATGGAGTTTAAACCCAGCCAAATGTGGCTTATTTGATAATGATTAAGCAAACCATAGGCTGGTGTGCTGCGTTAATCAGACAAGTAAGTGGCTCTAGGCAAATCACCCTTTCTTAATTACAGGCTTCCTGCTGTTGCCAAGTATTATTCACTTAGTTTACGAGAATTCCGGTAGAAGAGTGTCTTGATCACTAGAAACATAAAGACTACCCTACTATATCACACCACAGCTTTCCAGTGGTCAACCAGATGTCTCTGAAGTTCTTGTTCCTCCCTCTCCCCATTGTTCCTCTGATGCCCCCCAATGCCAAGATACCCAATGACTTTCAAAACTATCCAAATCTGTGGCTACTGCTGTACCTCATAATACTTTAATTATATAGTCTATAAAGAAGCCCTTGCTTCTTTCTTTTCTAAATCTCCTCAGTTTCACTGGGTGACCTCTGACCCTAATGTCTTAAGAGTTAGGGTTTTCCTATGCCCCATGCCATTTTCATATACTCAGTCAGGCGCCTTCCTCCTCTTTTCAAGTTCAAATATTCCAGTTTTTTTTCTGGCAGAAAGAATGGTTGATTCTCCAGATCATTTGGGAGTTCTCTTTTGCACTTTCTTTTTTTTAGCTTACTGTATCCTTTTTAAACTTGGCAATCGGAACTATATATGGTATTCCGGCTGTAGACGTAACATAGATTTGTGTTATTGCTTTACAATGTTGACAATTTTCAATCCATTTTCTTGTGGTCCTTAACATGGAATTTGATATATTGCATTACAATGTTGGCAATTTTCAGTCCTTTTCCTTGTGGCCCTTAATGACAGAATTTGATTTCTTTCACCAGCGTTAAAAATCGAGTTGACGTTTTCACTGAGTTCTCCATTTGAGGCCAATACCCTTTTTCAGTTAGTCACAAGCAGCTTAAATCATCTCTGGGTTTATGCAAAGTTAGGGCTTTCTGCCCCACTGGGGCATCACATTACACTTATTTAAACTGGATCATAGTTGCCATTTGACCATTCAGTCACTTCGTAATTATGTCCAGTCTTCACTACCTTGTTTATAATCATATCTGCAAACTTGGGCAGCTTGTAGGTCACACAAAATCATTCCAGCTCCTGTTCCCACCCCCAAAATTGAGAAAAGTGCCCATCCATTCTTATTCTGTGCTTTCTGATTTTTAACCCATTAGCAATCATTAAAAGGAGGGGTCTTCTTATCCTAGGAAGACAAGATGTATTGAGTTCAGAGGTTGGACACTACGAGGAACACATTGTCCAACATTATTTTGTCTTATCTCTTTCGCTGATTTTGGAGGGTGAGAAGGAAGGGGGGGGGGGAGACACAACTCACCAGCTCTTGATAGAGGAGATGTTGCAGAGTGTCACTTTCTCTAGTTCTTTTGCTTTCTTGACCTTCAGTTGTGGGGACTCGTGATCAGGACTCCAATCCTGGATAGCAGGAGAGGAGAGGGAGAAGGAAAAATGTCAAATCTGAATTTAGGCTGCATTTCTTGACAGAATGAAAAAGAAGAAGAAAAGTTGAAAGGGGTTAGGAATCAAAAGGGCAGCCTCACGATATGCAGAACTTTGTTGATATTTATACCTCCTTGGGTAGCTGGATCTGTCAGTCACCCGCAGGAAGTCTCTAATCACCACAGCACAAAAAGCATTATAATATTTTGGGGATAGGTGAAGTGGATTTTCCAGTAAGAAATTATCTCAAGAGATAGATGGCAGCTAGTTCAAAGGAGAAACATAAAATCTGCCCTTCCCAAAAAGGATTGAAAAATGTATGAAACTTTAATAAAGTAATACATTTCCCCTGAGAAAAAATTTCCATCCAAACATGCTGGGCAATTTGTTTATTATTATTTTTTAGTGCCCCCAACAATTTTCGATACAGGTAGTCCTCAACGGATGACCACAACTGAGCCCAAAATTTCTGTTGCTAAATGAGAAATTTCTTAAGTGAGTTTTGCCCCATTTTATGACTTTTCTTGCCACATTTGTTAAGTGAATCATTGCAGTTGTTAAATTAGTAATGCGGTTAAGTGAATCCGGTTTCCCCATTGACTTTGCTTGTCAGTAGGTCGCGAAAGGGGATTACATGACCCGGGGACACGCAAACGTCATAAATGTGAGTTGTCAAGCATCTGCATGTAAATCACGTGACCAAGGGGATGCTGCAACAGTTGTAAGTGTGAAAAATGGTCATGTCACTTTTTCAGTGCTGTTGTAACATCAAACGGTCACTAAAGTGAACTGTTGTAAGTCAAGGACTACCTGCATTATTTTGCAATTTGGCTTTTTACTTGTTTTATGTGGAATACAGGTAGACCTCAGCTTACAACCATTTGTTTAGTGATCATTCAATTAAGATGTGCTGAAAAAAGTGATCTACAACTGGTCCTTGCACTTATGACTGTTACAGTATCTCCATGATCAAAACTTGGGCACTTGGCATATATTTACAACAGCTGCAGTGCCCCAGTGTCATGTGATTGTCATTTGCAACTTTCCCAGCCAGCTTCCGACAAGCAAAGTCAATGATGGAAGCTGGGTTTACTTAACAACCTTGTGATCCATTTAATGACCTTGCAAAAACAGTTGTAAAATTGGGCACATTTGTTTGCCTCACTTAGCAATGGAAGTTCTGCTCCCAATTATGGCTGTAAGTTGAGAACTACCTCTGGTGACTATTTCTCAGAAGCCATTAATATTTCTCAAAGACAATTAATCAGTGGAACGGCTTCCCTCCGGAAGTTGTGGGTGCTCGATTGGAGGTTTTAAATAGGGCCCAGGGGTAGGCAACCTTGGCTCTTTTATGACTCGTGAACTTCAACTCCCAGAATTCCTGAGCCAGCATGAAATAGGCATTGGATAGCCATTTGTCCAGAATGATATAAAGTCTCCTGATCGAGTAGGGAGTTGGACTAGATCTACAAGACCTCCAAGATCCCTTCCAATTCTGTTATTCTGTATTCCATATAAATAGGTTCCTGAAGCCTTCCTTCAACTGGGCCCCATTTGCCAGACTATACAAAATGCTAGAGAAGAATGTAGGTGTAAGATTTTTGCACTATTAAAACTTAGGTGTCTTTTATATTCCATTTGGTGCTAAGAATTTTTTTACAGTAAAATCCCATAGTTTACCTTGAAAGAAATACAAAGGCAAACAGTATAATTAAATAAATCAGATTGTCTCAGCCTGAAGGGCCTGGAGATTCTTAAACCGAGCTGTGGGGTTTAGCTCTAATTTTAAACTCATAATCTATTTTTATGGCACTAAGCCATAATTGTTAAAAGGTGTAAATGGAATGTTAAAAGAAAGCAAAAATCTTTATTTCTTCCAAGATATTTCTGGTAACTTGTCAAAAAAGGGACAAATGAGCTTACTGTTGTTATCAAACAATCTGAAATATTTCACTAGCTATCAGCTGAATTGTTTTGTCACAGAGGATGTTTAAAAACAGTAGTTAGTTATCAACCTGAAGGCTCTGAAGAAAAATAATTCTTTGTTTCTGAGGAAAAAAGCAACATGGAGAAGTGAGATTATCTGGATTTAGAATCAACTGAACAGTGGATTCCTTTTTTTTACTGGGAACTACAGATAGTCCTTGATTTATGAATACAATTGAGCCCCAAATTTCTGTTGCTAAGTGAGACATTTGTCAAGTAAGTTTTGCCCCATCTTACGACCTGTCTTGCCACAGTTGTTAAGTGAATCACTGCAGTCATTAAGTCAGTAACATAGTTGTTAAGTGAATCTGGCCTCCCCATTGATTTTCCTTGTCAGAGGTTGCAAAAGGGGATCACATGACGCCCAGGACACTGCAGTCGTCATAAATACAAGTCAGTTACCAAGTGTCTGAATTTTGATCACATGACCATTGGGGATGCTACAATGGTCGTGTGAAAAATAGTCATAAGTCACTTTTTTCAGGGCCGTTGTAACTTTGAGTGGTCACTAAATGAACCGCTGTAAGTTGAGGACTATCTGTATCACTATATTGGGACATTTTTCTTTCTGTGCATAAATGGAAACCCGGAAGGAGTCCGAGAACATGCAGCATGCTCTTCTCCTACCATTAAAGAAGAAATGCTTCTCACCTCAAATTTTGGCCAGTTCATAGGCATTCCTGGGCCATGTCGGTTATGCCACCACTTAAGATCCTCTTGGTCATTTATCTCCTCAATGGCCTGATGCAAGTCACTATAAACAGCTTGGATACTGAAGAAAAAGAGAAATAGAGATGAGATTATCGTGCATACAATTGTGCACAGATGCAGAAAACGTTCCCACTTAGGCACAATGTGTATAGAACAAGTCTGATCCCAGATGCTGTCCTCAGGGCGTTTACCAATGTTGTGAAACTGATTTACAGGTTTTTACAGGATGTACTGTTGCAACATTTGCCTCATGGAATTCTACTGAGCTTTCCAACCATTTTTATTTATGTATGTATACTGTATATATATCCAAAAGAGAACGATTGAACACCAAGCACAACTTGGTGCTTTTCAGGAAAGTTGGCTACAAGTTTTGTAAAATAAATAAATAAATAAAAATAAGGCAAGGCAGGCTAGATTGCAGGATGTAGGAAAAAGAACCAGATGGGTGGGAGGAGAATGGAGGTGCATATTTTGGGAATAGATAAGATTTTCCCTGGGGAGATGCCAAGGTATAGTTTAGCTAGTTCCCATTCTAAAGGTCAGGCCATGAAATGGGAGATAGCGTAGAATGGAGGCTTTTTTTGGTAGAAATGGTGAAGGCAAGAACAGCTTAGGCACTGATTGTCATGGAGAAAACCTCTCTATGTGGTTACTAAGCAGAATGGGATTACTTGCCTTGGCCAATTCGCCCCAGCCAACTCAACCTGCCTGACTTGCCCGGGCTGTTTTCCTGCGACTGACTCACCATGGCCAACTTCCTATGGTCAACTTGCTATGGGAGAACTTGCAGCGGGACAATTCAGTATGGGATAACTGAAGAGAGGGATAAGAGGGACAAGTGACTTAAACTCTGGCTCACTCCAGCCTCGATCACTTCTAACTTGAGAAGGTTCAAACCTAAAGTTGTCCTAGAGCCATCATTAAGAGTTGGGCTTGATAGTGCATAATTGATCACATAATCAACTAGCAGTGAGGTTTCGTCTATGAGAAATTTCATCTATGAGAAGCTGAGAAGTTGGGAGAGGTAGCTCAAGAATAAGAAGTTTGGATGAGAGGGAAAGGAAAAGGGGAAATGGAAGACTTACCTAAGCCTTAACACTAAAGGATTGTCAGGTCCCCAAATCCTTATCTGTCTCCCTTTCATATACACATTCTTGTGCTTTGCTTTGGGGCCTGCCATTTAGCTGGGGGGAGGAGGATGTTTGCTTTTGTTTGGGATAACTTTCACTTTCTGCTTTCCTTTTTCCATCTCTATCCACTTGAAAAAGGGATGTGTCTCCCTTATCAGGGAGATGGTTACAGAGAAACAAAAGCTGGAGAAGACCTTGAGATGCGTGCCAACTGTACCAGTTACCTGTTCATTGTGCCACCTGCTGGATTTTAAATGGACATTATGACTTTGGTGGGAGGAGGAAGCCCCGAAAGTCACTCTTACCCGAGGTGGAGGGAATAAAAAAGCAAAGAAGAAATATCCAGAACCTGCCTCTCCCGATAAAGAAGGAGAAACTTTATGTCCCAGCCACTTTAAGACTTAAAGTAATGCAAACTAGGCATGACTCAAAAACTGGTGGACAGTTTGGATTTGTAAAAAACTTACATCTCATTAAAAGACAGTTTTGGTGGCCTGCTTTGAAAAAAGACATAGAAAGCTATGTAGCCAGTTACTTCACATGTGCAGCGGCTAAATCCCCAAGATTGCTTCAACCAATAGCAAGTCCGTCAACACCCTGGAGAGAGATCTCTGTGGATTTTATTGTAGAGCTGCCTGAAAGTGCTGGAAACCCTGTAATTTGGGTCATAACTGATATATCTTTTTCACGAGGCCCCACAACGTATAATTTCAGACAGAGGAGTTCAATTCACCTCTAAGTTCTGGAAAGCTTTTCTGGACTTGATGGGTTCTAATCAAGGGCTATCATCTTCGCACCATCCGCAAATTAATGGGGGGGGGGGACAGAGAGATTGAACTCAGTTCTAGAACAATATCTGAGATGTTTCATTAATTATCAACAAGACAATTGGTCTGACCTGTTACCATTTGCTGAGGTGGCTTATAACAATGCTGTGCACTCCAGTACAGGTTTTACTCCATTTCAAATAGCTAATGGTCAAGCATTTGTGGCTATGTCTGAACTTCCTGTCAAGGAGCCTGAAATCTTCTCCTTGCAAGAATGGATTAAGCAATTACAAAATATCTGGCCAGTAGTCAGGAAAGCTCTGGATGAAGCCAAAGAAGCTTATAAGACTCAGGCCAATAAACGGAGAGTGGAGGAAAAACCATATAAAATTGAAGACCGAATGTACCTCTCCACGAAGTATTTGCAGTCTTTACAACCTTCTAAGATATTAGGGCCTAAATTTGTCGGACCTTTCTCTATCAAACGCATCATCAATTCTGTGACAGTTGAATTGGACTTGCCAAAGAACCTTCGGAAAATACATCCTGTTTTCCATTGCAGTTTACTCAAGCCAGAGATCACTTCTCACATTAGGCCTCCTGCTCCTCAGGCACCCACACCTATCATAGTTGAGGGTGAACAATACTTTGAGATTAAGGACATTTTGGACTCTCAAATACATCATGGGGTGACACAACACTTAGTAGCTTGGAAGAATCTCTCTTCTGCCCAGAATGAGTGGGTGTACAAGAGACATGTTAGAGCCCCTAACCTTCTTAGACGTTTCCATTCCCAATATCCCGATAAGCCAAATTAATGTGTATATATTGTTGTTCCCCTCCCTTTTTGTCTTTTAGGTGGATTTCCCATTCTTTTAGGGGGGGCGTATATTAGATCCCCAAATCCTTATCTGTCTCACTTCCATATATATATATATTCTTGTGCTTTGCTTTGGGGTCTGCCATTTAGTTGGGGGGAGGAGGGATGTTTGCTTTCACTTGGGATAACTTTCACTTTCTGCTTTCCTTCTTCCACCTCTATCCACTTGAGAAAGGAATTTGTCTCCCTTATCAGGGAGACAGTTACAGAGAAACTAAAGCTGGAGAAGACCTTGAGATGCTCGTCAACTGTACGAGTTACCCGCTCATTGTGCCACCTGTAGATTGGCTGGATTTCAAATGGACATGGTGGGAGGAGGAATATTGCTGGTTTAATTATACCATTCAAACAGGATTTTACCCAGATATCGCCTTGACGTCCCTACTGTCACTAGCCCCTAATAAAAGTTTTCTTTTGAGACAAAGCCTGTTTCAAAAGTTCTGCTTTCTTGGATGGTTAGCTGAGATGGATCTTTACAGGGGTTTAGGACAACTCGCCACAGCCGATTCACTGTGGCCGACTTGCCTCAGCCATCTCATCCTGGCCAATTTGCTTCAGCCAACTCACTGCAGGACAGGTCACTGTGGGACAATTCATTGTGGGATAACTCAAGAGAGGTACAAGTGAATTGCAGTGGGCCTTGTCTTACTTTAGGTTTGAACCTTCTCAAATTAGAAGTCCTTGAGGCTAGGGTGAGCCAGAGTATGGAGTCACTTTTGTCTCTTGTCCCTCTCTTGAGTTATCCCATGTTGAATTGTCCTGCGTTGTCCCATGGTGAGTTGGCCATAGCAAGTTGTCCATGGAGAGTTGTCCATGGAAAATCAGCCATGGAAGTGGGAAGGTCAGAGTAACTGTAATGAGAATATATTCTATAGGGTAGACAATGGGAAAGTAGTTGTTGAACTACTTAACTACTCTGACTACATAATTGTAAATCAATTACAAGTTCTTTTGTGGAATGCAGCATTCTGGTAAAGAGGGCAGAGGACATCTACAGCTGCCCATGGAGAGATAGACTCAAGGGAATGAAGGAAACATCAGGACATCTGGTGATCAAATAAATCAAGATGATGGTTTGATTGTACAATTAAAGTGGGTATCTTGACTTTTTTTATCCCTCCTCAATGGTCACCCTTGGCTTTACTCCTCCATCTAATGGCAAATGTTGGTACTGTACACCTGGAGGAGTTAATTCATCCCTTTTTAGCCAGTAATCCATATCTGACATCCATGAGGATAGAGAGAGTAGATCATTGTTTCTCAGCCTTAGCAACTTTAAGATATGCGGACTTCAACTCTCAGAATTCCTCAGTCAAGCATGAAGTAGATAAATTGCATAAATAACTAAGAAAAATGGCCCTGGTGTCCAATAATGGCCATTTTACCATCCCTTTCAATGTGCAATGGCTTCTTTCATGAGAGAAAATACTGCTGCATGAAGCTTAATACCAACTTCTTAACACCAACTTCTTCAAATGGATCTGAACAATGTGAGACCAGCTGTATGAGTTATATAGCACTCAAGATGTAGTGGAATGTAGTTAGAATCATAGGAGGGAAGGGCTGATTTCCAGAGAGCAAAAGGGCAATGAATTCTGGTAGGCAGGAAGAGGGCAAAAAAGGACTCTCTCTAGCAGTTCACAGAGTATATTTATAGCTATGCAGATTGTGGTTTTAGTCTGTCTGTAGGCCAACAACAATAAAAAAAAACTATAAAGAAATAACTCCACATATTATTCTTGGAGCTGATGCAAGACTCCTTTTTTCACACCTGGAATCTGCAGACATGTCAAGACGCCGATGCAGGGCGAGGAAGGCACTTTTGAGGAAGACAATCCGTTTCTGCTCCAGAGCCTGTCCCTCCTCAAACACAGACTCCATTTCTTCTATGTAGCGAGGACTGCAACGGTCAAGCTCCTTCAGAGCCTTCTCATAGCGTTCCCGGATCTGTTAACCAGAGCCAAGAAAATTCATATGCTTTCAGATTCTTCAATCTTTTGGATCCCCATCCCTAAGCATACAGTATCTCTTGGACAAGGCGATGTTCCTTCACCTGCAGACCACTCCTTGTGGCCCATAGTAACCAGACGGGTTGGTTTTGCTGCATTGCAGGGAGAGGGAGGAAGAAACCCATCCTCTTTGGGGAGCTGAATATGATTTATGGGTTATCTCCTGCCTTAGACCAGGGAACCTAAATGACTATAGGATGTAGACAGAGATCAGTGCTTGTGGGTGTTAGAATATGTACTCCCACTCAAATCGCATCATAACACTCCAAATTAAATAAGCATTTAATATCTCTGTGTGTGTCTGTATCTCTGTAATTGCTAAATGTTTACAAGTTCATCAAATCTCACAAGATTCTGAGAGACTCTTGAGATTTCTGAGAGCTTATGAGATCTTGGGATGAGGTTGCCAATACTTGGTAATATTTGGGGCAGTTTTGGTGGGGACACTAAGGGTTGTATGATGTGTGTGAGTTCCGGCACCTTTTTTTTTTTTTTTTTTACAAAAAAGCAGTGTGTGTGTGTGTGTATTTGTCATAGAATGCCCAGAACAGAGTTCCGGCACCGTTTTTTTTACAAAAAAGCACTGTGTGTGTGTGTGTGTGTGTGTGTGTGTGTGTTTGTGTGTGTATTTGTCATAGAGCGCCCAGAACAAGAGTTCCGGCACCTTTTTTGGATGGAACATTCTAGGTGGGCGGGGCATGTGGGGAGAGGCAGAGCAGTAAAATTCAAACAGATATCGGTTAGCACAGCAGAAACAAGATTGATGCAGCCAATTGTAGGTATGCAGAGGATGGACAGACCTATGATATGCTCATTGTCTAAATCTTAAGCTTCCCAAAGACTATAAGGATGAGCATTCTCAGATCCTGGCTTATACTTTGACAATGTCAGCAGCTGCTGACAAAAGCTTAGTTCTTAATAAATGTTTAGTCTCGGAGATCAATGTTTTTAGTAGTTTTTTTCTATTATGAATATACCCGGGACTCGCATTTTTAAAATAATATATAATACACACACATATATATACATACACATACATATATACATACATACATACATAAAAATATACATACATATATATATATATATATATATATACACATACATACATACATACATACATCATATGTGTAGAATTGTGTCCTTCACATTGTAATGTAAGTTTGTAACTTGCTCCTACTGTTCTGTAATTGTGGGTAAAAAAAACTCTGCACACCCAGCACCTTGATGAGCTCAAAGGAGGTTTGAATTGGCTGACTTGAAAAAAAATCTGCAATTCATAATTTTTTAATTTTCTTTTTGAACCCAATCCAGAATATTAAAAGGTCACACTGTTCTTCAAACAGATTTTGTATTTAGTTTGCTGTACTCAAGCAACAATATTGTTCTGCATAATTGCATTTCCAATCAAAGGAAAGAAAAATTGTTTGTTTTGGATTTTTTTATTCCAGATAAATCCCCAAGCCCCAAACATTACCCAGATATTAGCAAGAGATCTCAATCATTGCTGCACAGTAAAAACAACTTACAACCATTGATTTAGCCATTGCTCAAACTTACAACTGCACTGAAAAAACTTGCTTGCAACCAGTCCTCACACTTATGATTCTTGCATGGTCATGTGATCAAATTTGGGCACTTGGCAACTGGCATTTATTTACAGCAGTTGCAGTTTCTGGGGTCATGTGATCACCTTTTGCAACCTTCCCAGCTGGCTTCCAACAAGCCAAATCAAAGGTGGAAGCAGGATTCACTTAACAACTGTGGGATTCAGATGCAGTGATTTGCTTAACAGCCATGGCAAAAAAGGTCATAAAATTGGGTATGACTAACTGCCTTGCTTAGCAATGGAAATTCTGGTCCTAAGTCAAAGAAGGTACAAGAGGGGGACATGTTCCTTAACCCCACTAGTCAATTGATAATTTGACAAAAGTATCAGGGAACTGTTAATTAGATGTTGCTAAAATATAACTCACAACAACTCTGGCCTAAAATGAAGAATGCTGGGAACTGTACTTCTGTTTCTGCTTTATATTTTAAAGAGAATATACAGGAAGTAACAGCGGCAGTGAAAAAAGTGACTTATGACCATTTTTCACCCTTATGACCGTTGCAGCATCCCAATGGTCATGTGATCAAAATTCAGATGCTTGGCAACTGACTCATATTTATGACGGTTGCAGTGTGTCCTGGGGTCATGTGATCCCCTTTTGCGACCTTCTGACAAGCAAAGTCAATGGGGAAGCCGGATTCCCTTAACAACCATGTTACTAACTTAACACCTGCAATGATTCACTTAATAACTGTGGGGGGAAAAGTTCCTAAAACGGGGCAAAACTCACTTAACAAATGTTTCACTTAGCAACATAAATTTTGGACTCAATTGTGGTCGTAACAGAAGACTATCTGCAATGGCCAGCTGATGGTGGAACCAACAGTAGCATATAATAGATGGACAGAATTTTGTTGGCCTATCTGACAAATTGCCTCAGTAGCCAGGAGCAATAGAGAACATGGAGAGGTAGGAAAAATCCCCTACCTTGATGGTTTCTTGGCTACAACGTTGATGTTCTTCCCGCAAAGCACGTTGCCGATCTGGAGAAACTTCAATCCCTGATGCTGCCTGAATTCCATTCTCCCTCAGTGTTGCAATGTGCTCTTTGCGACAGGCCTTGTGATACAGAGCTTTGGCCTTCTCTGTCTGAATGTAGGAGTCGACGATCATGAGGAAGAAGGGAATGAAAAGTCAAGGCATTTGGGACCCAGTAATCCCAGCAAACCTGTTTCTTAATTTCCATATACCCTTAATTTATGGAGTCAGTAGGAAGGAAATGTGTCCTCTCTGTAAGCGGCCAACACCAACCTCCTATTATTCATAAACTGAGGACTTTTTCCAACCTCATTCTACGGCTTCAAGTTGGACCTGGGTGGCAAAGGGTAGGGATCATGGCAAAGGGAAAGAGGGATACAAGCTCACAATAAAGATAAACCTGGTTCACCAGGCTTCTTTTGCTTCATAAACAAACCTAAATCCTTGGATTCTATTCCTCCATGTCTTTACCTTTCTCTACACTTCCAAAGAACTTCCAAAGGTCATGTTCTTCCTACCTTCTTCAGCTTCTTAGTCCAGGGTTTCTGAGCCCGGTGGAAACCATTTTCTAGTTCACAAGACTCCTTGAAGCCCCCAAAGAGCTTGCGGTGATAAGAGTTGTGCTGCCAGGATCGGATGGTTCCAGCATCCTCAGAGACCAAAGCCCTTTGCATCTCCATGTGTAGCCGGCTTAACCGCTCAGAAGCCCCCAGGAAAGCTTGCCACGCCCGAAGTAGGGAACCATATACCGGGCCTAGAAGTGAAGGAGGAAGGGTAAGGAATGACAGGATTTCATAAATTCCTTCACTGCAGCAAAATTGATTTCTTAGGATTTGAAGAATGCAACCTTGATGCTTGAATGCAACCTTGATGCTTTATTGAGGAATTGGAGAACTGGAAAAGTGATCTAGGTAGGGAAGCCAATGAAAAATTGACTTCACTGGCAACTTTTACTCTGTTGTAGTCATGTGCAGGATTTTCTCCACCGACACAGATGTTAGTGCATCGGAGGTGAGAGTGGGCAGAGATCCATATTTAGATTGGTAGATCGAAAATTGGCCTACTCTGAATGAGTCTTTTTCAACCTTGGCCACATGTGGACTTCAACTCCCAGAATTCCTCAGCCACCCATGCTTTCCACACATCTTGAAGGGGGCAACATTGAGAAACCCTGCTTTTACTACAAGAGCCATGGTGGCACAGTGGCTGCAGTATTGCAAGCTAATTCTGCCGACTGCCAGGAATTCGATTCTGACCGGCTCAAGATTGACTCAGCCTTCCATCCTTCCGAGGTTGGCAACATGAGGACCCAGATTGTTGGGGAAAATAGGCTGATTCTGTAAACTGCTTAGAGAGGGCTGTAAAGCACTGTGAAGTGGTATATAAGTCTAAATGCTACTGCTATTTAAGTGCAATCAGCCAGATAAATGATATGGCAGCTGTAGGAGTGTCTACAGACTATAGTTAAAAAAGTCAAGGTAGCAGCCGTGACTGTGTAATTGAAACTCTGATTTTTTGTTTTTTATGTTCATCATGGTCCTTTGATTGCCTTATCACAGCCAACAGCTTGACTTTTTAAATGAAACACCACTGGCCAACCGGCAGCTATGAATTTTATATCAGGTATTTTATATCAGGTATTTCAGCTATGCACACGGGCTACAGAAATGGGATTCACGATGTTCTATAGTGCAACATTTATCACTGACTTTTGGCAGGACACTTCCTGAGTACAGAGCATTCTGGGAAAAAGATTACCCATCTATAGTTTACAGTCTATAATAATACTATGATAGCATCCTTTGGAATGACATCACCTGGACTCTAGGAGATAATTCCAAAAAAATATATGCATCCTGAATTATTTGCAGATGAGTCCCAGCATTTTACTAATTGCTCAAGACTGCAGTTTCAAGTATGTTAAAAACAAAAGAAAACCTAACAGCATTCTCATATAATAGTTGTTAAAATGCTGCAGGGCAAGTCTCTGGAATATATCGGTAAAACATCTAGATTTTCTTAAATAACTTTTAGAAGGCACAGTTTATTTGGCTTTTCATTTGCATAGGTTGTCAACAGCAACTATCCATAGAAAAACCGGTTTCTTTTGTAGGCATCAGAGCAAAGATATTACCATCCCGTCAGTAATACTTACCCTCCCAGACACTTTATCAAGATGAAATCATCATTTCAAAGGGGAAAAAAATCACCCAGTCCCATATCATGGGAATTATCTATCTATCTTTTACAACTGGTGCTAGTTTTAGACTAGACTCTAGAGAATGCATTAAAGTATTATAACTAGCTATATCAACATTTAGAATAAATACAGCAGAACTAGGAAAATTGAAAGGAGAATTTTCCTGGAACGTTTTTTGAAATGGTTCCGTAGTATATTCTAGGAATAAAAAGAACAAGCTAAAAGTTTGTGGCAAGAACAAACCTTAGAAGATCTTGGAATAGAGAAAAAGAAACTTTTCCTGTTGTTGAGCTGAAGTATTTTACATCCATGTGGTCTCTAGAAAACTATACAACATTTGCTGTCCCTTATTTCCACCATTCCTACTCACTGCAATCACCATTTTGTATAATGGGTGACAAAACCTGATTTTATATACCTTGAGGTTGTCCTTGAATGATGTTGGACTAAAAGGGAAATACCTATTAGTACAGCAAGAAATAATAGGTTTCACACATGGACTGGGGACAAATTGAAGGCAGCATCATGGTAGGAAAAAGATGTTGCAAGGGTGCTTTGGGGCAATAGTTGGGTATAAGTGGGGAAAGACCCGAAAAGGCTGTGGAATAATAATTAATCATCCTAACTCCCTATATTGTATTCTATTTTTGTGGTGGGCTGATGCTTTGCCTATAGAAATAAATCAGGGTAAAGCTGCATAACTCAGAACTTGGAGACAATACATCATAGACACAAGGAACAGAGTTAGATTTACAATGCACTCTAGTTATGTTGTAAATAACTTGAGAATAAACATTCTAGGTGTGGCACAGTTTTGGCCTTCATCGTGAAGAAAATAGCAAGCATACTAATGTACAGTTAGAATATATGTTTGTACCAGTTCTTTTTCCCAACCCCCAGTTCTTTCAAACCTGCATGTAAAGCAGACCAGAATTTGGAACATCCACAGAAAAAGGATGAAACCACTCACTTGCGTCAACCAGGGGCCTCCACTTGCGACTCCATTCATCCATCATCAGAGCATAGCTACGTTCAATCTTTGCCCGTTCCTGGAAACAGGCTACAATCTGGTCACAGACACGGTACCCATCATCCAGACGTTTGACAGTGCTCTGGTAGTGACTGGGCTGCAGGAGAAGGGATGGGAAGAATGGATGAGGAGTGGTCTCAGTCTGGTGGTGCAGGAATGCCCCTTCAAAATGCCTAATAATAATAATAATAATAATAATAATAATAATAATAATAATAATAATAATGATAAAGTTGGAAGGGACCTTGGAGGTCATCTAGTCCAACCCCCTGCTCAGGCAGGAAACCCTATACCATTTCGGACAAATCGCTGTCCAGTTTCTTCTTTAAAACTTCCAGTGTTGGAGCATTCACCGCTTCTGGAGACAGGTTGTTCCACTGGTTAATTGTTCTAACTGTCAGGAAGTTTCTCCTTAGTTCTAGGTTGCTTCTCTCTTTGGTTAGTTTCCACCCATTGCTTCTTGTCCTGCCTTCAGGCGCTTTGGAAAATAGCTTGACTCCCTCTTCTTTGTGGCAGCCCCTGAGATATTGGAATACTGCTATCATGTCCCCCCTCGTCCGTCTCTTCGTTAAACTAGACATACCCAATTCCAGCAACCGTTCTTTATATGTTTTAGCCTCCAGTCCCCTAATTATATTTGTTGCTCTTCTCTGTACTCTTTCTAGAGTCTCAACATCTTTTTTACATTGGGGTGATCAAAACTGGATGCAGTATTCCAAGTGTGGCCTTACCAAGGCATTGTAAAGTGGTATTAACACTTCACGTGATCTTGATTCTATCCCTCTGTTAATGCAGCCTAGCACTGTGTTGGCCTTTTTGGCAGCTGCAGCACACTGCTGGCTCATATTTAGGTGATTGTCCACTAGGACTCCGAGGTCCCTCTCACAGTNGCAAATTTGATGAGTTCCCCATCTATCCCCTCGTCCAGATCGTTGATGAAGATGTTGAAGAGCACTGGGCCCAGAACAGAGCCCTGGGGCACCCCACTACACACTTCCCTCCATGTAGATGCGGTTCCATTGAGGACCACATGCTGAGTACGGCCGGTCAGCCAGCTACGGATCCATCTGGTGGTGATGCTGTCTAACCTGCATTTTTCTATCTTATCAAGTAGTAGGTTGTGGTCTACTTTGTCAAATGCCTTACTGAAGTCCAAGTAAATTATATCCACAGCATTCCTCTTTAATGCCTTTCCTTCCAAATCACCTCCTCTGGGGTCCTCCTGTGAATTCCAACCAGAATCAAACCAATCTCTTGGGATTCTTGAAAAACAGAGAAACCCAAGCACTATCATTAAGTGTTCCAGAAAACAAGCATAAATTAGGTAATGTCTTAATTATTTTAAAAGAATATGGGGTAATAGGATAAATGTGTTTTCAAAACTGGAAGTCTTTGCACAACGTGCTAGTCCATAATTTACCAAATTACAGTGTACTCAATTAACCCAGTTCTCTGAATTTGCACAACACAGAGAATCATAAATTATGAGTTGGATTCACTCAACACAGTAGGCTAAAGTATGAGTAGCTAGTTTGAAGTTCAAGGAACATTGTTTTTAAGTCATCATTTATTTTTAAAAACTCAGGGGTGGCGGTGGGGGGTGGAATGTAACCAGACATAACAGAAAATTCTGATACCAAAGGTTGCAGTGCTATAGTCAAGTTCTTTTTTTCAAGTTTAAGATCAAGTGATGTGATCATTAAAAAAAACCCACATTAAGAGAAAAGGAAATCTTGAATCAGCTGACTGTTGATGTCCTAATGTGGTTTTCTTCACAGCAATTTGGGACTGTTACTTTTTTTCTTCTATTTTTTTTTCAACTTTCCAATCCAGCCTACAACTTGGACATGCCTTCATTACCTTTAGGAAATCAGAAACCTTCAGCACCTCAGCTCTCCCAATTTATCTTTTTGCTACCCTTTTATCAATGTCATGCAATCTTGACTTCACTGATTTTTATCCCAAGGAATTAATATGGAGTTCCCTTGTAGTCAGTCCAGAAGTTGCAGAATACAGCAGCGTGTTACAGGTGGACTTTGGGCTGCCCATGTTACACCTCTCCTCTGAAACCCGCACAGGCTTCCAGTTTGCTTCTGGGTGAAATTCGGAGCCAGTCTGGTCTAGTGATTATGGCACCAGGCTAGAAAAGCAGGAGACTGTGAGTTCAAGTCTCCCCTTAGCCTTGAAACCCAACTAGATGACTTTGAGCCAGTCACTCTCTCTCGCCCAACTCACCTCACAGGATTGTTGTTGGGAAAAGGAGGAAGAAGTATGTTGGATATGTTCATTGCCTTGAGATTTTTTGTAAAAATAATAAAGGCAGGATAAAAATAATCAAATAAATAAATAGAAGATTTAAAAAAAAACCTGATGTGCTATTTGTCACACATAGTTGGGTTATTTGCCTCTTCCTGGTTGTTTCCACCCACCCCACTAGGTCCAATGGAAGCTTGGTATGTGATAGAGACATTCTGATCTGGTGGAGCATCATGTAAACCTGGCATCTGAGAACTATGGCAGGTATCTCAGGTGACCTTCCTTCCTTCCCTTCCCTTTCCTTCCTTTCCCTTCCCTTCCCTTCCCTTCCCAATTAGCATATTGCTTTGTTTTTTGTTTTGTAGTTTGGCATGCAATGCAAACTCAACCCATTCGGTTATCTTAAGACTCAAGGTGTTGTAGCTAGCTCAGTAAATGAGTCAAACATGTTGCATAAACATACATTGAACCTCCTCCCCTCCTGACATACCGTCCCTGTTATCAGCTACTCACCATCCAGAAGCTGTTGGTAGTTGGCTCATCAGCAGCCACCTCACTGTATATCACAGACATGGTGTCACCTGTTTAGAGGGAACAGGTCTCATAGTGCATCCAAAAGTATCAAATAAAGTACTCGTCTTCAACAATTGTTTTGGAATCATATTCCAGATGTAATAATGAAGAACCTATTATAACAGGATGTGAGAATGACTTTGGAAGACAGAAGGAAGAGCCACAGACTGACCAACCGGCAGATAAAAGGTATCTCAGCGCATCAAAGGAGAAGGATGTGGGACATGTTACAGAAGGGTTCCCCTCTAATTTTTGGAGAGTAAAAGGAAAAGAGGGGAAAAATACTTTCTATTTTATTTTATTTTATAAAATTTATTGATCCCCCATCTTACCATAACGCAACTCTGGACGGCTTACAGACATAAAAATTGCATCTACATTAAAACATGAATAAATTAAAACCAAAAATTAAAATCAAGGACACATGGGGAGGCAGAGGTGGAATGGAGGGAGGTGTGATCTTTTGTTACTCAATCAACTACCTCCACTGTGCTGTTCTCCTATTGGGGCCCTAGGCCAACTGGCAGAGCCAGGTCTTTAGGCCCTTATGAAAGAATAGGAGGGTTGGGGCCAACCTCACATTAGGGGGCAAGATGTTCCAGAGGGCAGGAGCAACAGTAGAGCAGGCCCTCCTCCCGGACCCCGCCAGCCAGAATATTCAGGCTGACAGAACCAGCGGGAGTGGGTCAATCCAAGTGGGCTGAGACAGTCCCTCGAGTAACCTGGGCCCATGCCATGAAGGGCTTTAAAAGTGATCACCAGTTTTACAAGATTCCGTTACTGTAACCTTAAAATAAAGCCACGGTTAGTTCTCGTGATTGTACTTCTTGTCTGGACTACTTTGAAGAACTAAACACTTATCTTTAGGTTCTATACATATTTCATCTTTACTTTGCTCCCTTGTCCAGAGTTCTTTGGAAACCCTGAACTTTTAAAAGATGTAGGGAGAGAATGTGCTCCCTGCATAAATAATAGATCCTTTTGATTTAAATATAAGCCAGCTAATGGCAGATATACCATCTAATCGACATGCAACATTTTCAGGTAAAGCGTGATTTTTTAAAAAATTCTTTTCTGTCAGAGTTCCAAGAGTTTTTTCATAAACCAAAGCATTGGGTAGGACACCCAGATCCTGCATTTATAAAATATAATTTCATTTATTTTCCTTGGATTCGTTTGCATAAAAAAATCTGAATAATAAACTAATCAAGCTAAGACTAAACCTTAACCAAGATGAATGCTGCTTTGGCTATCACTTTGCTTGGCCAATCTACGAGGGTTGTGTTATCATAGAACAGCCCCAGTTGTAAAACAGCTTCCTGTCTCTCAGGCAAACTTTTGGTAAATGGATATACTCTTTTTTGGAAGTGGAAGCCTCCAGAGATAAGTTTATAGAAAGTGGAAGGTGCTTTGTTATACACATTGACGATGGCTCAGTTTTCTGATTTCCCTCCTGTCTTGGGGTGTGTGTGTGTGTGTGTGTGTGATAAGAATGAAGTTCTTTGAATTTAAAATTATGATAAGTTTTTTAGGGCTTCCATTACAGTTTTCACATGCTTCTCTCTTCCAAATGTGTTCAGTTCAAATGACAGGAAGCTGCCAAGCTAGTTTTTTTTTTGTTTTTTACAGATCTTTGGGAAAAGATTCTGAAAACCCTTACAACAACCCATTTACAGGACCATCTCTCCTCAGTGGTGTCTATCCATCCTGTTAGATCTGGCTGGAGAGTCATGTTTATTTATTTATTATTTAAATTTATATACTGCCCTATCTCCCTTACGGGACTCAGGGCGGTGAACAGGCAATAATAAAAATCACAATAAATATTGAATAAAAAGCCTGCTCTAAAATACCCCATATAAAACCCCTAGCAAAGCCCAATCAAAACTATGCCAGGCCGGCCGCATGGAATAGATGGGTTTTCAAGGCTCGGCGGAAGAGGCGCAGGTCCGTAGTTGTACGT